AAAACTCCTTTCAGAACTTCTTAACGAGTGGGTTTGCTATTGGCAAATTCTTTCAGGTCTTGTTTACCTGAGAATATTTTTTATTCTTTCTTTCCATATGAAAGATAATCTTGCCATTTTGGTTGAAACTGTTTTTCACTTAATACTTTGAATATATTTTCCCATTCTTTCCTTGTCCTCATTGTTTCCAATGAGAGGTCTGATGTTAGCCTGATTGGATAACCTTTATAAGTAACCAGATGTTTCTCTCTTACCAATTTTAGTATCTTTGTTTGTGGATTTGGCCAGTCTGCCTATGATATGCCTTGGAGAAGATCTTCTTGGGTTGATTCTATTAGAGTTCCTTTGTATTTCTTAGGTCTGGATATTTGAGTGCCTCTCTAGATTTAGAAAGATCATCAATGCCCATATTAGTTTCTTCACCTTCTGGGATACTCATTATCCAGATATTTAGGCACTTAATGGTGTCTAGTATTTCTCGTACAGTATTCTCATTTGGGAGGGTTATTTTCTCAGTTTTTGTTGTTGTTGTTTTTCTAAATTAGAGGTTTTGCCTTCAACATCCGAGATTCGATCTTCTGCATGGACTAACCTGCTTTTAATACTTTTGAGGGGGGTTTTGATTTCCTGAATGGCAGCCTCCATCTCTTTTAGCTCCATTTGATTTTTTATGGTGTATATTTCCTCTTTCAGATCCTGCAAGAACCTCCTCATCTCCTGAACTCGTCTCTTTCCTCCTGCATCTTTTGGAGTTCATTGTCTCTCAGCTCTTGTATCTCATTTAGTTTTGTCACTATGAATATTCTGAATTCTCTATTGGACATTTCCATGAGTTCCACGGTACCGTCTTTGGATGATGGAGGATTGTTCTTTTCCCTTAGGGGAGAAATATTTTCTTGGTTTCTCATGTTTTCTTGTGCTTCTGCGGTGGTTTCTGGCCATTCTGTGACAAAATCTCTCCTCCACTTGTCTGAATATTTTGGGAGTCTAGACGATGAAGTTTAGAGCATAGCTTCCCTAAACACGGCAGGCCAACATGGCTTCTTGTCTATTTCGGGAGTCTATGAATATTAAGGTTTTTTTCTGTTTGTTTGTTTTCTTTTCTTTTTTTTTTTTTTTTGAGAAGTTTTTGCTATAGGGCACGTGCGCTCGCCAGACAGACAGAGAGAGATAGAGAGACAGAAAGCGAGAAATCACCCTCCAGGGGGGATGGTCACGCCACAATCCCTTCTCCTCCATTCTCCTCTCGTGATCTTGGCCACGCACGCACACGCGCCTGGCGTGAGTTTTAAGCCACCGGGTCCAGGACGCGAACCGTAGCTGACAACGTGGGAGTCCAGCAACATAGCCATTACGCTAACTGCTGGTCCCAAGGTTTTAAGTAGTCAATAAATAGTATCCTCTTTTTCCACTTCATATTGGGTTGTCGGAAAAGTCAAGACATATTTTTCTGTGCAAAAATGTGCCATGACCTTTCTGATGACCCTGTAGTTTTGAACCAATTGAGAAATAAGGCACAGGAAACAAGTAAGCAAAGATGAAAACATCAGCATCCTTACTGATGAAACTGTTCAGTGGACATGGGTTCAGATCTGCAGCCAAGTGGGCCTTTCAAAGGTCTGAATCAGAGACTTACCTAGCCTAGCAATCTAGGCCACTCCACAAAATATACCCTCTCTGAAGACAGGCTGCCTTTAAAAGTGGGAACCAGAAGGGCCAGCCCATGGCATCATGGTTATATCATTGGACTCTCACATGGTCCACAGCGGTTTGAATCTGGGCCGTTGGCTTGAAATTCACACCACGCACGTGTGTATATGCGCCCAAGATCCCAGGAGGAGAATGGAGGAGAAAACACTGTGGCATGGCCATCCTCCCTGGGGAGTGATTTCTCACTTTCCCTTTCACTGTCTCTGTCTCTCTTTCTGGTGAGCACATATGCTGTATGGCAAAAACTTCTAAAAAAATAAAAAGATGGAACCAGGAAGAGTTGAGCCATATATAAACAGTATCTTCTCTCATAGATATTAGTCATGTTCATTATTTTTTTTCTGTAGAGAGCAGTAGTGGGAGGCAGAGAGAGAACAGAGGTTTACTCCTTAACAGTGGACATTGGTCTGCTGTCAACTGTGGAGATCTGTCATTCTCTGTGACATACAGTTCTATTGGGACTGTGCATAAGAATTACACTCCACTCCTGAGTACGGAGGTGGGCATTGGTACCCCATAACCCTGTGGGAGCACAGGTCTCACCAGGGTCATCCAGAGTCATCATATGAGAATATATATATGGACAACAGATGACAAGCTTGATAGGTATGATAAGCAGAGACGAGCAAGGCCAAGAGAGAGCCCCAAAGACATTGTTTGAACGCTGTTTCTTTTATTTTTCTTAAAGTTTATTTATGTATTTCTTCTATGAGCAAGAAAGAGAGAAACAGCACCCCAAACAGGATCTTTTTTTTTTTTTTTTTGGAGAGATTTTTCGCTATAGGGCGCGTGCGCTCGCCAGACAGACAGAGAGAGACATAGAGAGAGAAAGCGAGAAATCACCCCCCAGGGGGGATGGTCACGCCACAATCCCTTCTCCTCCATTCTCCTCTCGGGATCTTGGGCACGCACGCACACGCGGCCGGTGTGAGTTTTAAGCCACGGGGTCCGGGAGGTGAACCGCGGTCAACTACGTGAGAGTCCAGTGACATAGCCATTACGCTAACTGCTGGTTCCCCCAAACAGGATCTTGATGCATTGATCTGCTCCCAGTCTTCAGCCAGCCCTGGGTCATCATGGACAAGCATGTGCCCAGAGTATTTAAGGAAGAACTTCAGACTTGAACCGGCGACTTTCATGTGGGATTACCTGACTGAGCATTGCATTTTTACCTTCACATCAGACTCTGGCCTTGAACATTGTAACATGTTTCATCTTGCACTTTCCAGTTATATGAGCCCGTATTGTCTTTTTATTTTTCTTATAGTAGTTTGAATTTGATTTCTGTTACTTGCAATAAAAAAAGTCCTGTTTAATACAGTCTCGAAACATGAGCGAGCGTTTTTAGACTAGGAAGGGAAGTTGCATTTCAGATAAAAGAAACAGCATGGGCAAAAAGCCTGGAGGTTTGAAATGTTCAGTTGTGGCTAACGTAATGCCAAACAAAAGGGAGAAAATTGACAATGAAATAAAACATCTATGTGGAACAGTGTTGTAAACATCCATTGCTAATAAAATAATTTTAAAAATTAAAAATGAAACATTTTCTTAATATTTTAACAAGACTCCCAAACCAACAGTCACCACTCTTACTCCTTTTTAAATTGAAAATAAAATAAGGACGCCTGTTATAGCCATTATTATTTAATATTGTCTTGGATGTTCTGGCCAGTGCAGTAAGATTTGAAACAGAAATAAGGAATATTTGAAGAGACAAAAATACTTGCAGATGATGTGATTGTATACTTACGTGTTCTCCAGGCAAGGGAAATATACAAAAATCAGTGGCAGTCTTCTACACTATAAATAACCAGTTAGAAGATCCAATGAAAGAGATCCAGGTACATAATAGTAAGATATCTCTATCTATCTAATACTTCAGAATAAACCCAATGAGAGATATGTATGACCTAATAAAAACTATAATACTTAACTGAAAAATATAAAATGACTTTAATGGACAGACATCTTTTGTTTCTGGATAGAATGACTAAATATAAGAATATTAGTTTTGAGGATCAGCAGATGACATAATGGTTACATTGCTGGACTCCACGAAGTCGACCGTGGTTCGAATCCCAGAACTGGCGGCTTAAAAACTCAAGCCAGGCACGTGTATGTGTGCCCAAAATCCTGAGAGGAGAATAGAGGAGAAAGGATTGCAAAGTAGTCATCCCCCAGGAGGTTATTTCTCACTTTTTGTCTGTCTGTCTCTCCAGTGAGTGCATGCACCCCAAAGCAATAATATCCCTCAAAAATAACAATAATAATAATAATAATAATAATAACTGAACAAATAATTCTTTTAAAAATGTATTATTTATTTATCTGCTGTGATTTTCAAACTCTGGGGTCTAGGACTCGAACTGCAGTTGGCCATGTATGAATACAACACCCTAACCACCACACACCACCTGCTGGCCCCAAACAAATAATTCTTACAAAAAACAAAAACAAAAACAAAAACAAACAAACAATCAACCACAGGGCTTATGAGTAAATTGGGATTAGAGGCACGACATTACAAATTTTTGTCAGTGACACATACAAAAAGATGACTTGAGGCCAGCAGATGATGTAATGATTACATCACCAGACTCCCACATGGCCAACTGTGGTTCAAGTCCCAAACCTGGTGGCTTCAAACTCACGCTAGGCTTCAAACTCATGCCAGGTGCATATGAGTGTCTACCCAAGATCCCAGGAGAAGAATGGAGAAGGGGTTGTGGCATAGCCATCCCCCCCAGGAGGTGATTTCTCACTTTCCCTCTCACTGTCTCTGTCTCTCTCCAGTGAGCTCACATTCCCTAAAGCAAAAACTTCTTAAAAAATAGATAAGAACTTAAGGAAAATAGTGTCACAATTTTTCACATGTTAAATGATAAGAAATATA